TGAATTGACGAAGGCCTGATGGGTCACAAAAAAGGAAAAAGCAAACTCAAACCGCATGGCACCAGTGACGTCATCATTAGCAAATCAGACAGTTAACTATCTATTAGCTATTTGACCGATCTGCATTTATATATACCTTTCAACCATGTCTGAGTGTTGATGTTGCATGCTTTGTCTACCAGAGGGCACTCAGCAACTCTCCTGTTGGCAACATGTGTTTGGAAGAGCACAAACACGACAGGCTGCTGATTCCAGCAGCATGAGGCAGCGCGTAAATGAATAACTCACGACTTGCTGTGACACAACAACATTATATTAGTAAGGACTCATAAACAATTACTTCCTGAAAGAAAAAAATACCACATTTTATCATGTTCTGATGTTATTCAATAATTAAATCAATATAAATGCACAATGACCAGTTGACTAGGAAGCCATTCTTTAAGGGAAAACTTTAAGAATATACAACTTGGACAGCTGCACGCTGGAGGTTCGGTCATGTGTTCGTGTCAGACAGAGAAAAGGCTTGCGAATGTGACCATGCATTTATCAGCCACGCTGTCGCCTACAGTGTGTGACAGTTAGAGACAGCCAGGGCTTGGGGACGTCCCACTGGCATTAAGAAAGCTCTCTCCATGGGATGCGTCAGCCAATGAGCAACGGAGCCTCGGGGGGCTGCCTTGTTAATTAAAGCCGGAGTTGTTTGTCAGTGCCGACATATGATGCACAGCACTATCACCGTTGGGGGAAAGTGAAAACACGAAGCAAGATTGCTGCAACCCCTGCAACAAATCTGCTGCCTCACCATGGAAGCAAGACATCTCACTACAGCAAGGACCGCTGCAGTTTAAGGTGCCAGTATTGGTTTGCATCGTGTTACTCAAGTGGCAACGAGCAGAGCGGAAACACAAAGCTGACCCAGGGAAAAGATGTGAAATTATAGGATTTTTGGGCTCTTTAAAGCTTTACACAATCCGTCAATCTGCTGAAAACCAAACCTTCAGTTTAAGCTCAGGATTTATCGGCACGTCTCTGCACAAGTGTGCTTTCTAACATGAAATCTTGAGTTCCGGCCTTACTAACGACTCCAAATAGTTAGCATGTGGTCATATCTGGGTGCTAACTATGAGACACTCGAGTGTAGCTATATTAAGGGGAAGTCTCTGGGGCGAAAAAAATCTTTCTAACTGCTGCTCTGACTTCATCGCAGCACTTGATGATATATAATGACACATATTTGTATCTGGAATGTTGCTGGCTTAAATCCATGCACCAGCTGCCAAAACACAGGCAGAGAAAATGAAGCAACAAATCTCAGTTTCCCTAACAACTACTGTCAAGCTCCTTGAGGGCAAGGGACTTAATTTCCCCATACTCCACCAGCGGTGCTACTCAGTAGCCAACGATCGAGGATGATTAGTGTGCAAAACTTGAGAAAACAGAGCCATGCAGGAAAACAGCAAGCAAAACGTCCCTGGATACACAAAGAGACAGAGTCTTTGATATATGAACCCATTTTCCGCCAGAATCCCAGACCCCCTTGGCCTCCTGCCCTTCACACTGTTGTAATATCACTAAATCAACTAAACCTAAATCCCCCATTAGACTGAATTTAGAAACCCACGCTGCGGAACGGAAAACCCAAACAAATCTGTAAATTCATGTTAAAGCAGATGAACAGAAGGATTGTGGATTAACGAGAGGGGATTTGCCACTCCGACATCACTCACAGAGCAAATGGAGCAAATCAAACATCTTATTAATACGTTGACAGATGGATAATTGTGTCATTTTATTATCTCCTCACTTGTTCGATACACACAGGGAGACTTCTGGAGGGTATAAGCTGTAAAGCATAATTGTTTTATATCGCTGCTATGTCCACGAAATTGGCCTTCAGGAACTGAAAGAATTCCCCAAAGTTACTCAGACTAATATACGGGCTAATTTATCCTTCTTCTTAAAGTCGTGTTTCTTAAAAAGAGAAAAAAATAAGGGAATAATTTTCCTGACTCATGCGCAATGATTTCATTCTTTACTTAAAAAAGAAATAAAAACCACAGAAACTGTGCATGAGCTTTTCTCCTTTTCAACAGCCCACAGTAACAGATTGACTCTTTTTGAATCATCACTGAATCATACCCCCATTTAAAAAAAACATCATCATAAGTTGCCCGTGACAAAGCAGCACGGCTGTGTTTGCATAGTCGATTTGCACAGGTAAGTAAGCGGCTTTCCTGCGAGAAACGAGGGGATTCAAAGCGAATAAACACGGTGTAATCAAATGCGGCTGTGGCTGCAAATTGCTTTCGGCTGTAATGAAACCGGGTTACGGGGTAGCAGGCAAGACCACCACACAGCCTAAGCCTTTATCGAGGGAGCTCGATCCTATCGGCGCTGAGCTGGAATATCAACTGAGTGAGCTTAGAGTGGAAGTGCTCTGGGAGTAACCCATAACCTCAGGCATGAGTTACAGACTAGAATGGGACAATCAAACAGCAGTAACCCAAAGGTGACGTAGATTTTATGAAACACATTCACCCTGAAGTGCATCAGAGAGCAGACACACACACACACACACACACACGAAAAAAGATTACAGGGAGATTTGAAAGCAATGAGATTAAACACAAGTAAATATTGCTATGTTGGCCATATGGGCTCACTGAACCCGGGGAGGGTGGAATAAATAATGACGGTGAAATCCTAATGAGACCGACTGTATGGCCTGACATAAACACAACCGTGCTGGCCATCAGTCACTTTAAAGAGGTCAGGAGGACCACACGCTCGCTCTCCAGAGGGTGTGCCAGCTTATCGGAGCATAATGCAATAAGTCAGAGCTATTCCCTGACTGCCCCCCCCCCATAATTGATGAGTAATTAGCACAGGTAGAGTAGGTCATGAGCTCCACTCAAGCACGCGGTGAGTAGGTGAAAGAATGACTCATGGACAGACGATGTGATGGTTCCGGTGGGCACACACCGCGGAGAGGCCATTTCACTCTCAGTGATGCAGCTAAAACAAATGTCATTAGCGTTGTCACTTACAGCAAACAATACACGAAATTAGCACTAAGTCAACACTCTGATTTCATTTACCACATGCACAGAAATCAGAGGCACAAAAAAAACCCCTATCTGTGCTCATCTCTTCTTCTAATTGTACCAGATCCACTAACATCATTTAATAAGCGCAGGCCATTTGCATGCAAATCAGACCAATTATCAACAAGTAGCTGGTATGTGAGTATCATTTCACATTGAGCTGTATCATGCCTCATTTGCGTAGCCTTGAAACATAAGCTTCTGTGCAGCGCACAGTGTTCTTTCTCTGTGTTCACTCAACACAGAGAATTATTATAGCTAGTAAATGTGTAAAACTAAAATTGGATAATTATCTGGCTTCGCCTCGCTCTCACAGAGGCAGCGTTTATTTACTGTAATGTTTTTATTAAGATAAACCCTCAAAGGATAAATCTAACCTCATCTCCCACATCAGAGACAGATGTCCAACTTGTGAACTAAAAAGACGTCTTACAGCATCACAACATGTGTTACTTTTCCCAGAAGTCATTAAGTGCAGCGCACTTCAAAGTCTTCCAGCCATCAGAAGTGGCTGCCATGCAGCACAGAGGGCAAAGGTGCTTTTACATACAAAATCACATGGAGATGAATGAGGAGAATGGGCAGCAACACACAAGTTTATCTGGGGTGAGTGCCGCTTGTGAAATTTAGCCTGATTAGCCAAAAAACTCTGCAGTGTCATTAAAGCAGTTTTACATCACTGCACTCGCCTTTTACATCATTATTCTTCTCATATAAGTTCATTCCCAACAATATTTCAGGGATCGCCCTTGCACTCCTATCTGCTTTCCCGCCTGCTTTAAGTACCATGAAGCTAAATGGAATTGCAGGATAATCACAGATGACCCTGACAGGTTAAACTTGTTAATAGCTGGGCAGTGGAGAATTGATTATCAGCTTCAAGTGAGTGAATCCTACATTCAGAATAGACAACTGGTTAAGATTTTATGCTGCAAACACGCAGTCCACCATTATATTGAATAAGAGCTATGTAGGAGGCATGACTGATGACTGATTAATAGCCACCATAGTTAAGCTTACATAGAAAGGTGTGATTGGATCCACGGCCTCTCAAACGAGGCCATCATCTTAAAATACACAGACACCAGTGAATATTAGGTATATATTTTTAAAGGTAGTTATTTATATACAGTACCATCCTCAGAATGAGCCATAAAAAAGCAACAACAAACCTGCCTCATCAGTCTGCCTAATATCCCACAGGGAGCTATGTTTCATTTGTCATTTTGAATGTAATGAGATAAAGGAGCTAAATAAAGGAGGGTGTCACAAGGGGACCTCCTCTCTTCCTGAAATCACTGCTCTGACATCTGACATAGCTACCACACGGTAATGACAGCAGCAGAGTTATCAGCACGTGGTGTGTGAGCCTCCAACACACGAATGATGTAATAGGCAGTTTATCAGAGGTCGGAGTGTCAAGAAAGCAGAAAACAGAAAAACGCACAAACCAGATCCAAACCTGTCCCACCAAAGCACCTGTTTATTCTCCAATCATATGCTGGCTCTCTGAAGCAAGTAATTTTCAAGAAACAGGTGTGTGTGTGTGTGTGTGTGTGTGTGTGTGTGTGTGTGTGTGTGTGTGTGTGTGTGTGTTGTAAACACTTTCATGACAAGGACTCCAAACAGACACACATCAAAGCGAGCACTGATCACCTTGAGGGATATCCTCTCATCTACAAATATCAGACGATTACAAGAGTAATCCTCATCCATCTCATTACCGCCATCTCAAGTAAATTGGCTACAAATTGGACTAGTCCTTCATGTTGCTGGTGAGTGGGTGAGGACCCACTTACACGCACACACGCGCAGACAGACACACACACACACTCTTGACACATGATGAAGAATGCAAACACACAAACAGTTAACGATCCGCTTCCTCCTTACCTCCAGACGGTCCAGGCTGATGAAGCTGGCGATAGCAAATCCATCAATGATGTCCTCCTCCTGCGAGCTGGACTCTCGTCTCTTTCGCCGCGGGGGGCGCGAGACTCTGGCGGCGGCCGCGGGGTGCGGAGCTTTTTTACCGGGCAGGGAGGCGGCGTCCCTCCCCGGACTGTGTCCCTCCCTGTCGGAGCAGGAGGAGTTGGGGTCGGGGCTGCGGGCGTCTCTACTCCCAGCCTCCCGCAACCTCCGCACTCTCTCCCGCTTGGATCGACATCTCCGACCCTGCTTCAGTTTCCCATCCATGCTGTCAGAGAATTCTCCCAGAGTCCGAAAGAAACAGCAATATTACTCCACAGCTCGCGCAATATCAAATAACACACGCGCACGCACGCACACGCAGACACACACACCGGACTGAGGATCGTAGCCTGCGCTGCGCTATAACGTGGAGACAGCGGTGCGTGCAGGGCTCTGTAAATAACGAGGCGACCGTAGCCTCACAACAGTGGATGACCTTGAGTATAAACCTCGCCAATCTCCATTACGATAAGCAAACGTTCCAAGTATCCCCGCGCAGGCGAGCGACTGGGTGAGAGTGAGCGAAGCGACGCGGATCCGCACGCTATTCTGTCACGAATCTGCGCCGTGTCGACGCGCTGGCCGCTAAAGCAGGTGCAAAAAAACGGCGAAACGCTCAAAATCCGCGCACTGCACTCGTCTCGTAACTTTTGTGGCATCTCAGTAATAACGAGCGGCGTTCAAAGCGGGAGCTCGCAGCATACTGCAGACAGCGCAGAGAAATCATGTCGCTGCCCGTTGTTGTTTTCCACCACCCCAATCCATGATCCAAGTCTGGCAAGAAAAAAAAGAGAGAGAGAGACAGTATCGGGACAGTATCCGTCCGAGATAATGCTGATAATAAACGCCTGGTAAACGTGTCGATAGAAGCTGTCGAATGAGAGAATAATCCCGCGGACGACGCTTTGACTTTTAAGCCATATTCCTCTCCGCTCTGCGCTTCAGAAGCAAAGGATCCGAAGTCTGAGAGCTACTTAGGCTATGCGCAGTGTTTCCTAAATGACCCGAGCCGTCCGGATAAGACAGACATCCAAACTCCATAGGGCAACGAAGCGGTCTATTCCAGTTTAGATAACGTTGAGTTTCCCTACAAACCTCCACTCCAGTCCGTCCCTCAGTTGCTCAGTGGCTCCTGGTATTTTCTGTTCGCATAATAAGGCTTTGATAAGTGTCCTTAAAGCGACAGGAGTGATTAAAATCTCTCTCTCTGCCCCCTCCCCTCTCTATCTCTCATTCCCTTCATCCGAAATTAAGATACGCAGTCAAGCTTCAGAGAACCCACATAACTGACGTATTTCCGCCACCTCTGGCCTACAATTTACCATAGGAAGGAAGCGTGTGTAAAAAAAAAAAAGCCAGAGAGAAAGGGAAAATCATTCTCTCTCACTGTTGGGTACACTTTGTCATACAAGGCACTATTTTAGTCTGTCTGTCTGCCGGAGCTGATGCCACATCATGCCGTTTCCCGCTGACGGTTTGCGCTGTCTCCCTCTCACACACTCTCATCTATCAGGTTCTGACAGCTTCTCCATTCCGAGCATGCTGACTCTCCCCCCCCCCCCCTCTCCCCCCCCTCAACCCCCAACTCTCTAAATTCACCAGCAGACAACAGAAAGTGCAAAGCTGTAAAGCTGCGTTTCACTGTCGCATAAAGGTCAGAATTTCATGAGTGCACTGTAATAAAATATATATTTGAAATATGGGTTTGTCATATTTACCCTGCCCCAAACCTTTTTGTAAAGCCTGAGCAGGACTGCTGTGTCTCTGCAGAGTGAGCACTTCCAGGGGGTCCCTGAGGGAATTCCAGGGAATCCTGTGCAAAGTGAAACTGCTTAATTTATCTGCTTTCTATCAGGAGAAATCAGGGCAATAACATTATACAATCACTCCACTGTGTAATATTTTTTTCAGTTAAAGGTTTCACTGCCCTTACTGTGACTGTAACACCACCCAAACTGTAACAGAGACTTTTGCAAGCCTTTATAAATGTTTATTTTCTCCCCTGCAGAGCCATCAGGTTGTGATGCAGACGTGTAGGAACAGGTATCTCAGGTTAACACCGTTATCGATACTCTATACTGTGATTATGTTTTCATAAAGGTATTTTCTCAATCGACTTCTTCAATTACATGGAAACATAACCTCAGAAGCCAACAGTCCAATTTTCTAGGCAAGCTAGTTTATAGATTGTAGATTATGTTTACTTCCAGAGGATCTGCATCTCATTTCCAGTTACACAAGTCGAGGAAGTTGTTCCTTTGTAAATGTCTGGTGAGTATTTGCATAATACTTTGCTTAGTTGGAAACCTGTTCTCTTGCTGTGGGCTTAAATGAAAGAAGCTTGCTGTTTAGGTTATTATTACTTTATTAGCAAATACATGGCATGCTGTCAAGTGTTCTCTGATGAACTCGTAACGCATATGAATGAAAGAATTTAGCAAAATATTATATTGCAGCTATATTGTGACCGATGAATGGTGCTAGAGACTTAGTGTCAATCGTCTAATAAGTATGAAACCTGAAGATGAACCGCACCACTGAGTGTGAAATTTTGCTTATAGGAATCCTCTGGCTTATCACCTGATTTTCACACTATGCCAAACAGGAGAGTCAAAGCTACAAATGCTATCCTGGAGTACTTAGGTAGTTAGTGCAGTGGATAAGGTGTGGAAATTTTCTTTAACATAAGAATCTTTGGTGGAAATGCAAAGCAATGCATCAAAATGCAAAATGAAAGTACTTTTATGCAAATACAGAGTGCTGCAGGGTAAATTATCCAGCGCACTGCAGGTGATTAAACCACAGTCTGCACTGAGTGAGTGAGCATGATGATCCTTTTATGATAAACATCAGGTTAGGCTGTAACCTGTGCATATGCAATTATAAAATTGTAAGACTCTTGTCTTTTGTTTACAGCTGTCCACAGTTCAAGGCCCATATTGTTATATGCCCTCATTTACTTTTCATTGAAGTTGTCAGTTTGAATAAGGCAGCCGCTGGGCCTATATGTCACTTTGAAGAAGGATAACCAGGTGAGCGGTGCATCGATCTTTGCGCCGGTGCACTTTTCATCTTGAGACGGTATCGTTTTCATGTTACTTTAACTGCTGTGAATAAACCCCTCTCTGTTTGAGCTGCTTTGCGAGAACTCATTCAGTAAGGAGATTAAAAAAGGGGGAACAGGTATGGTGAGAGGGCCGTGGAGGAGAGGGAAGAGATTACCTCTGTTTCTTCCATGCAACTATTTGCTGTGAGCTTAATCCATAGCTACAGACTCTGAGCTCCCACATCCCAGTCATTCAAACGCTAGTCTGTTTGAAATGCTTAGCCCCAGCTGCGCTGGAAGCTAAAGGAAGGGAACCTGTCATGCTTTTTTATGATATTTAAGTGGCAGAATTGTTTTTCTTTGTGTCTGCCACCACGATAAGGATTCATTTGATGTTGCTGAGGTCAAGTTGCTCATTGCTTAAAGTTATTTTCCGCTGCGATAGTTCTAAGAGTCTGCTGTGTGGCGCTGACATGAGATTGAGAGGTGAGAGATTTGAAGCAGGCAATAAAAAGGCTCTCTCCAAGTACACGCTGTGTCCTTTGTAAGGAATGTAGCCCCACAGAAATCAATAAGGCTAGATTTCACAGTGGAACCCCAGATAGCTGTAAGATGCACAAATCCCTACACTGCTGTAAATAAAATAAAAAAAATCTTTCAGTGTCACAACAGAATTTGTGCACACATCGTGCCAGTATATTACCTCTGTTCAACAAACCATCTCTTTTTTTAAGGCATAGTTGAAATGGCGAACGCTTTTCCCCCCAGACAAAAACGTTGGTATAAGAATATGGACATAAAAACAAAAATCCATTCCTGGAAGTTTTTGACATTCTCAAGTCGTGTCTTACAGGTCAAGTATAGTGTGACGCAAATGAGGTAAAGTTATGAAGTTGGGTTAATGAATGATTAGGGTTAGGCATCTAAATCACTTGGTTATGGTCAATGAAAAAGTGTGTTTATGGCCATGTTACACACCCAACTGCCAATTAGATTGAATGTAAACAATAAGATGCTCGGTCTACTATCAATGGAATTTCTATGTAGCCTTCTGGGCTGGTTCTTCAGGCCAATTCAGTGTAATGACTGTGAACCGCCCACCCCTTAAGTTTATTATAAGGAGGCACGGTGATGACGTGTGTAGCACTGTTGCATAGCGCTGTGGGCTCACACACAGTTCAAATCCATTTATATTAAAAATCCTCTAAAAGACATCGAGCACTTTTCAGCCCCGTGAAGGGCAGAAATTCTGAGGAAACATAATTATGGATTAGGAAGTGAGGGCTGACCTTAACAAAACACTCACCTTTCCAGCTGAAATCACAGTCACCAACTTGTGCCAAAATCTGGTCCTCTGGTCCAGTTCCAGCTAGTTTGTCTTCATTGTTGAACTGACAGTCCACTGGGAGGATGCCATCAAGGAGAGATATGAAAGGAAGAAACTGCGATCCCAAAATGTAGAAGCTCAGGCTGAGGATGCTGTGGAGGTGGGTTGGAGGGTCTATGTGACAAGCACAAGTTAATCAAAGAGCTCCCCACTGTTGCCAAAGGAAGCAGTCACTGACTATGGCTGAAACAGAAGGAGACAGCGTGGTCTGCAGCACACACCCAGGTGTCATCACCCTTTGGTCAGCTGAGTGGATTGTGTGATGATTGGTCATGTATCCACACAGGTGAAAACATCACAGTTTACCATCAGCAAAATCGCCCCAACTTTAAGTCTCCTCCAACCCACTCAGGGCTGGTGCAGTGCTGCAGTGACACAGAGTTTAGCATCAGTGTGTGAATGTGTGTGTGAATGGGTGGATGACTGGATATGTAAAGCGCTTTGGGGTCCTTAGGGACTAGTAAGGCGCTATATAAATACAGGCCATTTACCATTTACCATCTATTCCAATTAATAAATTGCTAGCATGCTGAAATGCTACACTTTGCTTTTTAGCAACTTAAAATTGACATTTTTCTGAAAGCACCACCGTGTATCTGTGTAGAGCAACACAGCACTGGCTGTAAGCTTTTAGTCTTGTTCTTAAAAAGATAGTCTCAGATTTGCCATTTACTGATGAATTACCCCAATATCTGCCTCAAAATGATTTGCAATTGTTTGTTAAACCACAACCAGCATGCACGTCGATTCAATCCATCAGAAACTCCAGCAGCAATGACGACCAGCTGTTTTGAATATGAGATGTTGGATTCTAACTGAGACGTCTCAATTTGTCGCCCTAGCTGTCACTGAGGAATTACTGTGAGGGAAAACATAAGTCAGTGGTTTTATGCCTATAGGCCTTTCGGCTGCCTCTGTGACACATCATGGAGTAATTCACTAGTTTGGTGGCAATTTACAGGCAGGCTCAACAAGAAACCCGCCCGGGGGCCTCGAGCAACAAGCTGTCTCTCAGGAAACCGTGGCCAGCCATAGGATTGTCTGGGCTGGGGCCTCGCAAACTGCCGCATGAAAAATTAACCTGCTTGCTCAAAAGACACAGCTTAAACATCCTCCCGGCCCGAGAGCCTCCTCTCGTCATCTCTTACCCTCTCAGTCTCCCCAGCTGTCTCTTTCTATCTTTCCTTTATCCTTTGTTCCCCTCTTCATCTCACCTGTTTTATCTTCACAGCCTACGTTATTTAGATCTATCATTGAGCCTCTGCTCTATATCTATGCTTCAAAGGCAGCAGCTGTTTGTTCCATGCTGAACACAGACACATATATACATAGCGCGGGAGACTCGGCCACAGATATTGCATGTGTAACGTAAACATGGCCATAGCTGTGGACATCGGGTGATAAGGAATCATTCCAGCTTGGTTTAGAGCTGAAAGTCAAGTGGAAATCACCAACTTAAATAAGTGAGGATTAGTCAGGAAACGGATAGGAACGGTACTGAGGTGTCAATAATTTAACGGAGCAGGTTGTAAATCTAAGTGCCTTTGGATATTTCATAGCACTGGGGAGCAAAGTTTAATCAAACAGAGAGACTGGCCCCAGAGCTGTGTGGGTGAGAGAGATGAATCTACTGGCAGCCCTTGAGCAGGCAGTAGGGCTTTTATTACAGGCATCATTCAGGGCAAAATTAGCAATGTGACCTGATACTTTAGTGAAATAAATTGAGTTAAGAGACTAATGTGGATACATGTCATGTTAAATGTCATCATAAAAAATGTTTCTTTGAATTATTGTGTGCCACAAGGGGATACACTTCTCCTGTCATT